GAAGTGAGTATATTCTAGCAAACTCACTCACAAGTGTTGGTGTACATATCTCATCATTTCCAAGGCATAGCAGCATTTTCATCGTTTCCTTGACTCTACCATCATCCTGTGTACGTTTGTGAATAGCGTAGTAGACATTGTCAATTTGAGTTGGCTCTATGTCGATGAATTCTGAGCAAGGAATCCATTCAAGTATTTTATATTCACTTTCCAAGGAGGATTGAACCAAGTTGTCAATTGCTGGATTATTAACCCCAGGAACTAATGACATCGTTTGAATAAGAAGTTTTCAAGTACAATCACGGAGAGCATTCACACTAATATCCGTGTAACGTTTAACTACTTGACCTTTTACCTATTTAGAGGGTCCCCCATATTTAGTAGTAGATATTTTGCCAAATTTGATTTTCTCTCTGCGTGAAATAAAGTTAAAAGACCTTTATTGTACAAAGGTGTTATTATCGTATGGATCGAAATGTTATCATATATAATAATGACAACAAAGCTCTACAAATCGAATTGTAGGCTTTTGTTAATTGTGCTGGAATTTCTAGAGGAAGGGCTTAAGTACATCTTTCATGACATAGATTAGACATTCGTCCGCAATTTGGAACCCGGGAAAACCGAAGTACAATCTGCATGCCCAACATAATGCCACCCACCATTGAAAGTTTCCGCTACAATTACCTTCGCGTTTGGCTAAGAATGTAACAACTGAACGTTTTCCCTTTTCCCTCTTCTGGTTGTTACCTACACTCTGTATATTTGCGTCCTTCTCATTAACTGGATCTCCTATTGAATGCTACAAGCATATTTACCAGTTTTATGACCAGCTGAGAGTCAAAATCCTATTTACTCTTCCTGCCTACAATGGTAATTAATCTTATTTGCGGAGTATTATCATTCACAGTCAGGTGCTTTATCAGGAGTCACAGGATCTGACTCAACGTTCGTGTAACTCAAAAAATCGGTTCTCATCTTAAGCTTTGAAGCTTGCGTATTATTCAGCTTAAAAAGCTTGGTAAGTACGCTAATTTCGAGTAATAGACTTTCAAAGATGCAAAGCGTATTGATAGATTTTATATTCTCTGCAAAATGTGCACAGTCAGACCAGTCTGTTTAGCTGACATTTGTAATTAATATGACTCTATTTATTCCAGCAGCCCATCGAAGAGCGAACAGCAAAGAAAGATTCTCCTGGTAAGTATTACGCATATAGAATAAGGATATATGGTAACCATATCCTGCTTATACGTGGAAGACAATGTTATTGTGAAAACAATGTATCTTTTTATTAGTATTGTTGCTATATATTTACAATTAAGTATTTTCCCTTATGAACAGTAAAGTAAAACACGCGACGTGCCATGCAGGTGTGTAATCACTAATGCATTTCCTCTTACTTTACTGTTTGTTATTTTATTTAATAATTTACTTGTTCCATATGCACGTTTTATAGTCTAGTCAACCAGTTGCTGAGACTACTTCTCCCGTTCAGACTTCCTCCAATGTACCCGCTGCAACTGTTGCACATTCCGAGGCAAATCTCTTTCGATGTACTGTTGACGGATGTCCAAAGAAGTATAAGAACGCGAACGGTCTTAAATATCACAGAGCGCATGGTCATAGTCCTCGGACAGATAATGGCGAGAAGCCCTATAAATGCCAGGTGGACGGCTGTACAAAATCCTATAGGAACCCGAACGGACTGAAGTATCATTTAGATCACCATCATTCAGGACACAACGTCCAGATCACTAATAACACTGCCGTATCGGCGGATCAAAAAATATCTATTCCTCAATAGACATAACTCGGGTGGACCGAAAGCCATGGCGGTAAGTTTGTGATGTATTCTCAAGGATTTGCTATTGATTATAGATGAACGGTCTAACCTTTGCATCAAATGATTATAAGGTCTAAATACCGGTATCAACATGAGCCAAATTAATGGATTATGAGCAACGCTTCTTAAGAGCTTTCCCCGTGAAAACCGGGAAACGCTGCCTTCAATTCATTTGTTCTCGTCAACATTAATTGATAATGAATACTGATTCGTTCCCCCATCTTATTTAGCAATGGGTAGGGACAAGCCAGATTTTGGTATTACATTGTTAATCTTTAAAAGTATCAGGTTGTCTTAGTAATCACGATCTACTTGCAAAGCGTTAAATAAAGAAGTTGCGTGAAAGCATGTGGACAATCTTTGGATATACATCAGAACATTACTTTTCTTCGCGTACGGTACGAATAATTTCTGGCTAGCAATAGACTAGAACACTGAAATAATCAAAAGGTTGTTTCATTTATAATGCTTATACAAATGAAATCACAAAAAAATATTCTTAAAACTTATCAACAAGTCTAACAAGTCTGACTAGTACTAGAAGCATTATACGATTAATGTAGAAACATAAAGTTTTACTTATCAATTTGTTTATTTCACCAGGACAAAAAGCTGCTGAACTTGTAGAGCGACAGTCATACTTAGCAACAGTTCTCCTGCACGAGCAATAATTAGAATGCGCGAAAAATATCTTTTCCTTTTTGTACGACACAGAATGTACAGCACCGCCAATCGATGAAGTCACATGACTTTGAAAGGGAATTTACAGTAATCAGTAATAGATATCTTCTGATTGTAGACCACCTGAAATAGAAATATTGTGACTTTGGATATGCCTGATTGTAATATCCTTATAAATAATAGAATTGGAACAAAGTGATGCTGTGCGACAAAAGACAAGGAACTCATTTCCTGTTGACATGCAACCACACACATTATCACTTTATGCTTGCGCTTAAGAGCAAGCTCTGAAATGGACCAGATTTTTAGAAGCTCTTCAACTCAAGAAGACGGTGATAGCAAAAAGAGATTTTATATTGCAATAAGCGACGACGGGAGGGAGATAGTCAAATTCGACACATGTAAGTATAAATAATTGGAGTGATTGACGAAAGCTAATTATAATTATGCTCGGCATCGAACTTATCAGAAGATAGCTTTTATCTCTTATCTAACCCAGCCTCCATCTCATCCATTATTAAATGCCTCCTTATACTTCTAATGTTCTTTACCCAGACACTCAAGTTCTAGAAACATGGCAAGCCTCTTATTCTCGACGCATCGGGAAGCATCAATTCGAACCAACAGGCTTCAATTGCGTTGTCAAAAGTGATTATATATCTACTGCTGAAAGTCTAGCACTTGAGGTGCCAACATGGAGTATTGCTATATCTAATGCAATTAATAGCGATGGATTCACTATTGTTGCACTATCTTTTTATGTTACGGATAAAGAGACTGATAAGGAAGAGCGAGAAAAAGAAAATCCATATAAAGAGAATGAAGGTGAAGATAGTGAGAAGAAT